AATTATTCATGTAAAATAAAGTCGAAGTGGAGAGATCTCTGTACAAAGAGTTTCAAGAGAATAAGTAGAGCGAGCCAGGAATGCTATGTTTCGAAGAAAGCGGGGTAGCTTAGTATTGTAAGGGGATGGATATATAAGAATTAGCCGAGTAGCTGATCGGGAGATCAGCGTGGTAGCGTGGTCGAATGTCGTGCGTGGATTGATTATCACGCTAGAGGGCGCCAGAGTCGAGCGTTAGAGAGACGATCGGCGGCCGATAGCGCAAGAAGTTAGTGACGGCGGCATCAATGACGTCAGAACTTGGAGTAGAGAGAGATTCATTCGAGCGCAAGCGTTCGTGAAGAGTAGTTGTAGGGTGTGTGCAAGAGTGACTATCAGACTAAGTTCAATGAACTCTACTCAACACCAGTTCGTGACATCTGTGTTACCCACGTAGAGACTAAACGACGTTACAGTAGAAACTTCAAGATCCCAAGTCTGAGTAAGAGTAGAGGATACAACTATCCTCCGAAACCGCAAAATCTGCCGGATCTTGATCCACTCTCGGAGCGACTCATTTCGCCGCGAATTCCGTATATGCAAATTCGACGATTGCGCCGAGACGGTAGCTATGGGATTGTCGGCCAAGTCATAAATGTTCCTGTTGATGTTGACACTATGGTTCGATGCTTACCACGCTCTTTGGACGACGATTACGCCTTCAACGTTAATCTGAAGAAGAACATCATCCACAAATCATCTTATCGCAGCGGATTCGTGAAAAAATCCACTGTGAAAGCCTGGTTGACGTTCTTGATGGAACAACCTTTGTACGAGTACTATAACATTAAAGTCGATTGGTCGGATTTCAACGAGTCTGTTCGAGGCGAGAATTTTGAGGACTCTTCAGGTGAAGCTATCGAATTTCTCGATACGCGCGGAGCTTCAGAATCAGAGTTGATTCATGCCCGACAACACACGATGCTGTGGAACGAAGATCATTGCCTCGTCATAGCTCCTGGTCAGCATCGGAGACCAGAAAGCCTAGTATATGACACTTATGCTGAGGAGCTGTCGTTTCCGGGAATCTATCTAGGAGTTGCTCGACAAATTACGAATAATTCCAAGGAGAAACGGGCAACTGCGTATAGCATGAGCACATCTGAAATTCGGAGACGCGACCGTCGGGGAGCTACGCCGCAGCATGTCCTATACATGGCCATGAAAATACTCCGTCTCCGAGTCCGAGACGGAATCCAGAACATGTATCGATGCCTTAGGACGACAGAAACAATCACCCGTCGAATGATAGAAGATCGTAGTTTTGTAGAACGCCTGATTGACACGAATCTAGCGTTTCTGAGAACTATCCCGAACTCCATCCAATACTGGGTTGATAGAAAGAAAGATTTATTCGCCATGATCCGACAACTCGGCAAGCCAACAGCATTTCTAACAATGAGTGCCAATGAGACACAATGGCCTAATCTGGTACGAATCCTCCACCGGCTATCGAACGACACTATGGGACAGCCAGAGAATCAAAACATCTTCAGTGAACTCGAGAAACACGAGCGAGCCCATCTTGTCGCCGAAGATCCGGTCAGCTGCTGCATATACTTCCATAAATTGATGCATGTCCTCATGGCGATTTTGAGCACGAAAAAATCGTACAATCCATTCGGACATCATCGGGTAGTTGATTACTTTCTGAGAATAGAGTTTCAGCACAGGGGTAGTCCACATGCGCACGTGATAATCTGGCTGAATGAGGATCCTACCGAGGATGTGAGTGAGAATATGCCCCGCACCATTCAGATGATCACGAATTTGTGCAGCGTGGACAAAGAGGATTTGTCGTGTCCCGAAATGATCAAGAATCAAATTCACGCGCACACCTTCACTCGCACGAAACGCGGAGAAGAGAAATGCCGATTCAACATCCCCTATTGGCCTCCCTCCCAGACCCAGATTTTGCTCCCGTTGAAGAAAGAGGATGAACGATTCAAAATACTTCGGAGTCAGGCAAAAGGAGCACGCGACATTTTGGAGTCGAAAGTGTTTGAATCAATCGAAACATATCTGATTGATTTGAATTGTAGTTACGAAAACTACCTGAATTTGATCAGATCAACTCTCAAAGCCCAACTGTGATGTTCAAAAGAGACATGACTCAACTTTACATAAGCACTTTCAACCCTTGGATCGCCTCAGTTCTGAACTCAAAGATGGACCTACAGATTATCTTGGACGCCTATTCTTGTGCCGCGTACGTGGTCGATTACGTCAATAAGTCAAATCGGGGGATCAGCCAACTGCATCGTGAACTAATGAGTATACATGAAGCCAATCCGGAATTCGACCAGGCACGTCTTATGACGAAAGTGGGGCTCAAGATTCTGAATAATGTAGAGATGTCTGCACAGGAAGCTTCATGGTACCTCTTGCGTCAAAGCATGAGCTGGGCTTCACGGCGAACAACTGCGATCCCGACCATGTGGCCCCATGAGAGATACAAAGCGCGTAAGCGAACTTCCGTCATGGATACAGAGTCGATAATAGAGAAATATGAAGGTAGACACGTATCGCTGGAATTCGTAACTTTAGCTCAATACGTAGCATGGTACGAACCCAAGAAAAAAACAGGCAAGTAGTGTCGTAGACACTACTTATCGCGTGAAAACGTTCAAGAACTTCTCTGTTGACGTCAAATTCCTATCGCGGCAACGAGAGCGTATAGAAATATTTATTGATCCGCTTCGAGATTCTTTTCGAGCGCACGATCTCTAGTTCGTCGAATTCCTTTTCGATTTCTGTGTTTATCCACCGTTCAACAAGATCGTCTTTGTCCACACTGCACGAATCGGTGATCAATTGGAGTGTGCCTGGCATGAGCTCTCCCACATCCTCTCCTGGGTCATTTGGCCGCCACAATATGATATGAGCATGAGGACTCCCTCGATGATGGAACTCAATCCGGAGAAAATAATCGAGAACGCGATGGCGGCCGAAAGGATTCCACGATTGTTTCGTGGCTAATATAGTCATGAGTCAGGATTGCTTGAAGAATCTTATGGAAATACTAGCGCAGCCCGGCGCGCGTTGCTGCGCCGGTACGAGTGAGGGAGGAACCTACAATGAACCACTCCATAAAGTTTCTTATGAAAACTAACCCTTCGTTAATTTATTTGTTAATCGAGAGAGCGGCAAATTCACTCGAGTGTCCTTCTCTATCCCACCAGTCAGCAAGTTCTTGTTCCTCTCTCGTCAAATCCGATTCACAATGCTTCAAGATTGATGCCGATGAGGTGGACAGTAATTTTTTTCCGTTATACTCTTTTACTGCCGCCGCTCTAATGTTTATCACATGGCCTTCCTTTCCGTCGAGAGTTCTTATTGATTCGCCCCACAATCCAAGGGAGACAGTTCTCATTGAGTCGTCTACCAGTAGCACGTTTTGTTTTTCTCTCATTTGTCCATCTCTACACGCAAGCATCTGAGGAATCATCACATCGTAAACAATAGCGATCAGGTCCACCGATTTGTTGTTTTCGATGTCCAGTATCTCTGATATCTTGATTAGCGACTGAGGTTTTTTCGGAAGAAAGTCCCCTTCAATTTTCTTGATTCTCGTGATCTAGAAAGTCAATAAATAAGACGATCTGTCATATGACGGACAGGATTTGATGTCGATCCAAATTGGAGACTTATTCACCTTTGATAATTGAATCTCGCAGCTATGACTTGTGGTCGAGTATTGAGGATGACTTGGCTTCGGCCTGAATCCTGATATCTCGTAGCATGATCCGATCGAGATCGTCGGGAACAAAACTTCAGCGAGTTCGCCAGATACAATACAGCTGATTTCACCGCTGTTGTCTGTGAGATTGAAGGTGAATAACTTTCCCTCGGCGTCCGCTTTTTTCCACTCTCGTAAAGGCGATTTTGAGATGACACGGCCTTCGATGCGACCTCCAACAGTCTCAACATTGATTTCACTCAGAAGCTTCACTTTTTTCTTATCTTGAGGCTCATCTCTGCTCGTAGACGCTGTTCGGGTATGCGAAGGATGACAGGATATTGATGAGATGAATGAGATGAATTTGATATCATGATGTGGAATGTACTCAACGTCTGCTCCTTTTTCGTGGTTGAAGCGGCTTCGAGTGGTCCGATAGCGATTTGCCTTGCGTTTGATTCGAAGCCATTCTACTCGTTTTCGTTGTAGAATGTCAATGACATGAGATGTGATAACTCGACTTTTATACTTGTTACTGTCGGAAAGTTCTTGTGTCTCAATCAGCGTATCCGTGTTTTTAACTATCGCGGATTCCGTCACGATAAGTGCTCATTACGGTCAGCAGCAGCAATGTGGAATCGTAACCCATATGGATCCGTCTCTTTACTTGACAGATATTTTAATCCCTTTGAGTTATCATTATTCCGGTGGGAAACGAAGGTTTCAACACCTCGCGATACCTGACGATTCAATTGACCAGAGCATTATGGCACGGCATTTCAAACTCAGCTTCCATCTATCCAAATCGTGGGAAGATGCTGAACTTTTCGAACGGTTGCTCCATAATTGGCGATTCCGACGTTCCAAAGTCATACAGAAACTAATGATAATCAAGATTGAGGATCAAGTTGATTATTTCGTGTGCGAAAGCGATCCATGTGTTGACGGGCACCATATTCATCGATTCGATGTGATCACAGCATACTTCAGCCTCAACTTCGCAATGAGCCTGGACTACTGGCTCTTCGCGTTTCTTCGAAACGAATTCGGCCGATTGCTCCCTCTGTTCGAAGAGCCTACCTGGAATAATTTGATAATCCCGAACTCAAGAGTAATATTTTATGATGGAGTTATTTCAGCATGAATACACTGTTTTTCTCTACGATTTCATGGGTCGAAAATATCCCATCGCTCTGAGAATCATACCCCCCGGTATCGTACCTCCAGGTTGTCGAGAAGGCTTTTTCGAAACGCAGATCAGCACACATTATATAATCCTTTGGCGATTTTGAGATGTTCAGGCTCAATCGTGATAGCAAGGCTACATGATTTTCATTTGGCGCATTGGGCTCTCGAAACTTGGCTACACGTGATGATTCGGTTTCACCGGTCGTTCAAATTCCTTGTTGTGACTGTCTAAGCAGACGATCGCCGCGTTGCCGTGATTCTGATGTGAACACAGTTTAAACTTTCACGCGCGCGTTTCCCGATGTGTTGCGGGGCATTGACTACCATTTAAATATTATTCCAAAATTACAATTGAGAAAATCTTTATTGGCCTGCTTATTTTTCAGTACTTATTCTGATACATTGATTACTTAACAACAAATCTTGAAAATCATCCTTGTGTCATTATATCATTCTAGAACACCGGGATAGACGATATTCTTAGCTTTGCCATCTGGGGTATGGACGTATAGATTCGATGGTTTACCGACTCTTGAGCAAGCTACGTAGAGTTGACCATGTGAAAAACATGGGTTCGTTAATTCCAACCCGCAAACACCTAATGTTTGCCCTTGAGCTTTGTTTATCGTCATCGCGAAGGCTAATCGCACCGGGAATTGCAGTCGCTTGAACTCGAACGGAAGTTCAGTCGGTGTCATCGGTATTCGAGGCAAGAGAACGATTTTTCCCTCAAATTTTCCGTTCATAATGACTGCTTCAATAACGTTGTTCGATAAAGCTCTTACCGCAAGTCGAGTACCATTACATAGCATAGGTGGGTTTATGTTCCGAAGAAGGATGATTGGCACGCCGATTTTCAAGGTCAATTTGTGCGGTGGCAGGCCCGGTATATCGAGAGAATTTAAAAATTCTATCGGATAATTCACGGCCTCCTCTTGATCCAACATGGTGTCGATCGATGTGTAGGTTTTCTCGTTTCCTAATATCTCATTTAGAATAGATAAATTGATCGTATTTACGTCATTGTTCGTTGGTGCCAGAATGGCCCGGGTGCTCAACCATTGGTGATCTCGGTAATTCTCTGTGATATTCGGGAAAACATTCTGGATCAGTTCCTCTTTGCTCGCTGTCAGAGTGCAGAAATTCGTCGGGAGGGTCACGGTCTGAGTGTCTCCGTTCGCTTGCATTTTCCCACATCCTATGTCCAACAATTGATTGGCGAAGGTATCGGCGGATGTATCATTATCTCTGAGAACTCGCATGTTAATTTTCAAGTATAACTTCTTTACGTGGCGCCAAAGTCTCGACGCTTTTAAACAGGCGCCTATTTCATCAGCAGGTGTTGAACGCGGAATGACCGGTAGCGTTTGTCGAAAGTCGCCCGAAAGTAGAATGAGAGCCCCACCAAAAAGATTCTCGTTATTCCGTAAATCTCTTAACAACCTGTCAAGAGCTTCTAGAGCCTTCCTGTGGGCCATCGTACATTCGTCCCATATGATCAGCTCACTAGATTTGGAGTATTTTCCCCATCCCGGACTTCTTAGTGACTTTACAAATAGAGAATTCATTCAGATGCAGATTAAGTGGCAACTTCAATGCTGAATGAGCTGTTCGCCCGCCATCGAGGAGCGTTGCTGCGATTCCCGATGAGGCCATTGCTAAAGCAACCTTATTCTGGGACCGTATTGTGGCTAGGAGCAGTGAAATGAGGAATGTCTTGCCAGTCCCTCCTGGGGCGTCGAGAAAATAGAATCCACCTCGATTACTCCCCATAGCATCCAATATTATATCGTACACACCGTGTTGTTCTGCTGTAAGCTTTGGGAGATTTCTTTCCACCAACGACTTCAGGACAGCAACATCATAATTCGACTCGCGTGCAATATCACGGTCAGAAATTGTCTCTGTTGATCTGTCCGGTAGCGGCATTCCTAATTGGTCCAACCTTTTGTTGACGATTGACAGACAGATATTCTCGATATCGATCAGAGCCTCATTGTGAATCTGCGGTGTAAATTCAATGGTCGGATTCAT